GTTGTCCATCCCCGGGAGGGGATTTTATGTAGATCCTTGTGACCGGTTCCCCCTTTCTACCCCACCTTCACCCTTACCCTCCTGGTATCACTACTCTCATTATTGGTCCTGAAGGGTTTATCTGTCCTGGTTTCCCTGTGTTTCCAATTCTTATAAAAGGATGATATTTTAAGTGCCTCCGAAATCTTTCTTAGAAGAACTGAACAATCGTGATTTACTGTATATATACACGAGTATAAGCCGACCCGAATATCAGCAGAGGCACCTAATTTTACCACAAAAACTGCATTTAAAATGTGCTAAAAATTTGGCTTATACACGAGTATATAAGGTATTTAATATCTGATCAAGGAGTGACTATCTACAATCTCTTCCACAACACTGCACTTAGAAAGTCTCTATGAAATCTAAGTAATGGCACAGAAAGCATTGCTGTTAAAATGTATCAGGCACCTTGTGAATTTTTAAAGCTTAAGGTACAATGATAGTCTTATAAAAACAAAAAGTACATTGAAAAAACAGGCATGTTGAAGATATAGATGCTCACTCACAGATGTACAATTTTATATTCAAAACACTGTCGTATAGATTTCTTCTTCTGAACTAAATCACTGGCTTCTGTTACTTAAAAACATGGCTCCAAATTCTGATCCTTTTGTTAAAGTTGACAGGCAAATTCAGGGAAAAGTGAGATGCTACCACAACTCCAAACTCATTGCCATCAAGTCAATTCCAACTCATGGCGACCCCATAGGACTGGGCAGAACTGGCCCTGTAACACTTTATAAGAGTAGAAACCTCCATCTTTCTACCTTGGAGCAGCTGGTGATTTCAAACTGTTGGCCTTGTGGTTAGCAGCCCAACTCATAAACACTACACCACCAGGGCTCTTTACCACAAGATTCATTAGGTAAACAGAAAAGGCCCATTCAGATAACGTTCACTAATTTTCTAACTAGAAATGCCATCACGACTGCCAGGGATAATCCAAATAATCCACAATTTTCCAAAGTGAAATTATTACTGAAATTGAAAAAAATGCCTATGTGGTCTAACTCTTGTTCATCTTTAGAGCAAAATTTTATGGTGTGTGTATATTTTATGTATGTAGAAAATAAATCTGTAGGAGTAGCTTCAAAATGGTCAAGAAAAAATATAAGTAAAAAATAGTATATTTTTTCCATGAACTTCAAAGCCCCTTCCTAGGTTTATATGTACTGTTTTTAACCCCCAAATATAAAGACTGGATTTACAGACATACTGAAAATAAAAGATATTACTAATGGAGAGAGGGAAGATGCAGTATTCAACTTACATCAGAACTCACTTACAAGTGAGTCACAGAACCAAGCCCTGTCAAAAATCAAAGACAACCTCTATTTTATTGTATTCCTTCTGACAGTATTTCAAAATCTAAACAGGTTTCCTGCGAAACAATTGCTGCTAAAGTTCACACTTTGAAAGAAGCTATCTTTTGCACACATTTGTCTTCAGTGATCATATTGGGAAGGTGGGCACACACTGATATGATTTTTTTGTTCTTTGATGCCTGATACCTGGTCCCTTCTACACCTGGTGGTCACACAGGCTGGATACTTCTTCCATGTGGGCTTTGTTGCTTTTGAGTTAGATGGCTGCTTGTTTACCTGCAAGCCTTGAAGACCCCAGATGCTATCTATATCTTTTGATAACCGGGCACAATCAGCTTTCTTCACCACATTTGTTTATGCACACATTTGTCTTCAGCAATTGTGTCAGGAAGGTGTGCATCATGGAATGCCAATTTAATAGAACAAAGTGTTCTTGCATTGACTAAGTACTTGAGTGGAAGTCCAATGTCTATCTGCTGCCTAAATACTAAACCTATAAATACATGTACATAGATCTATTTTCCCACCATCCTATATAAATATATTTACCTATGTACATGCCTTTATTTAGACTTCTATAAATGCCTTTGCCTCCTAGTTCTTTCCTCTATTTCCTTTTACTTCCTCTTGTCCCACTATCATGCTCAGCCTTCATTTGGGTTTCAGTAATTTCTCTCAGGTACATTGCCCTTGATTAATCCGTACCAGGCCTCTCACACCCTGCTTGCCACTAATTTTGGATCACTTGTTGCTCGGACAGTGTAAGATATGACATAATAATAATAATTTATAAATTATAAAGGGATCATTGGGAAGGGGGGAGTGGGAAGGGGAAAAAAAGAGCTGATACCAAGGGCTCGAGTAGAAAGCAAATGTTTTGAGAATGATGATGGCAACAAATGTACAAATGTGCTTGACAAATGGATGTACGTATGGATTGTGATAAGAGTTAAACGAGCCTCCAATAAAATGATTTTTAAAAAATTAACTATTGTGGATTTACGGAAAAAAAAGAAAGAAAGAAGGGATCTTCATTATAGTGAAGACTTGAATCCCAACAAATTAAAGGGAAAAAAACCAAAAACCTTTTCATTTCAAAATATTAAGCATAAATAGATACAGCTCAGTTATAAACATAGATTTATGGATGCCTCAGAAAATCATGTAACCCCACTGCATATCACCGCACAAGGGAAGACTATATGTAACCCATCTATGGTAAGCAGCATCTAACATTGCCCCAAGGACCCACACTTACTGGTTCATATCCTTTCCTTTTCCTTGAGTTGTAGGCAGGACTTACTGATTCCCTTCTAACGAATCAAAATCAGCAGAAGGAATTGTATGCTACTTCTGAAATTGGATTATATAAAAATCCTGCCTCCTCTGTTGGATGTTTTCACTCACTCTGGAGGAAAGTAAGGACTACGTGGTGGACTATCAAGACACCCAAGAGAGTCAGCTCGGGAGCAGATCTTCTAGAGCATGGGTCCTCAAACTTTTTACACACGGGCCAGTTCACGGTCCCTCTGACCCGTTGGAGGGCCGGACTATAGTTTAAAAAAAACTATGAACAAATTCCTATGCACACTGCACATATCTTATTTTGAAGTGAAAAAACAAAATGGGGCAAAAACACCCGGAGGGCCGGATAAATGTCCTCGGCAGGCCGCATGTGGCCCGCGGGCCGTAGTTTGAGGATACCTGTTCTAAAGCCTGCAACCACTTGAGTAAGCAAATCCATCCTCAAGGAAGCCTTGAGATAACTGTATCCCCAGCTAGCACTTGCAGTGCAGTATGGGTAAGATTCCTGACAGACTACCTAGTTTAGCTATATTAAGAATATAGACCCCAAAACCTAGAGATAATAAATGATTGCTCTTTCTGGCTATTCAGTTCTGTGACCCCATGTACATTAACTACTACTACCATAGTATATTGTTCCTAGGCTGATAAGAATTGCCTAAAAGAGTAGGTTAAATATCTTCTTTCAGTAATAGAAAAATCATTAACATAAGGTATAGATTTTCAGTATTAGAAGAAACAGAATAGCTATCAATCCCCTCCAGTACACAATAAGCCAATAATAGGAAGTTCACGAAATTGCAAGAAAGCACATTCTTGAGTAACATTAACCTTTACAAAAGTCTTCCTTTTTAGGATATATCTAAAATTTGTTAGTGCAACCTGTCATTTATCCAAATTGTTGTACATATACTTATTCAGTCCTCAGTCTTTTTGAATTACTGGTATCTCCATTATACCAAAGAGAAAATGGGGTTGCTCTGGTAGATAAAGTTAACAGCTTTCTTTGCCTAAGGTTCACAAACTAGTAAAGTGAACAATATTTGAACCCAATATGTTCCACTTCAAGTCCAAACATTTTTCCACTCCTCCGCAATAGCATACTTGGTACAGAGAAAGTTCAGGCCTGTGTTTTAATTAAGGTGGCTTGATACTTTTCTCATCAATTTTGTCCTGGCTTCCAGAAACAAAGTAATTGCCTGGGTATTGCTAACCATTCCACGTCATCAGAGGCAGCATGTCCACTTACTCATCATTACTGAAGACTTAGAACGCTGGGTACCAACAGGTCCATTCAACTCATAACAAGCCCCATGTGACAGAGCAGAACGACCTAATAGGGGTTTCTAGGTTCAGTCTTTACAGGAGCAAACCACCAGGTCTCCTCTACTGTGAAGTTGCTGGTAGGTTCAAATCCCCAATCTTTGTGTTTGCAGCCAACAGCTTACCATTTTGTCACCAGCAGTATCAAGATTTCTGTGAAGAAAATGCTCTTTAATGCATAAAACGGAAGGGAAACATAAGTAACTGGGGCTTTAGCAAGCAAAAGCCATTTTTGTGAAGCCTTGCTTTTTGATGGCTTGCTTCACCCTTTATTTCTTGACACTGATCTCGCATTGTTGGTACCCTAGCTTTGGCAACATCCAGAAAAATGTCAAGAGTCCCACACACATTAATGAAATTCAAATGTTATTTATAAAGATTGTAGGAATTAAATCAACTCAGATTGCAATTCTGTTCGCTAATGGCACAGTGGGGGAGTGTTGCCCTTCAAAGAACGACAGCATTCTGTTAGCCCACATTAACAACAAATGCTATTGGGTAAAAGGGGATTTGTAACAACAACTAGCAAAGGAGAAATGCGCACATATTGTGCTTCAATTTATGCTGAGAAATGGAAACCTGGCAAACAACAAATCCTTGATTTGTTAAAAGCCCTTGTTCATGGAGCAACAACATGCTTATATTAGCAAAAAAGGAAGTGGTAACAAAAGGACTGGCACTCATTCAAGGGGATAGTATAAAGCTTTTTGTTTACTGTTTAATTGTTTAATTAGGCAAATTAGACAGGTTTTGTTTCAGATATAACAACTACAAATTAAATGAACATAGGAAAGAAATTTCATTCTGGAAGTCCAAACTTTTTAAAGCTATAGGAACTCTTCCATCTAGTCAAATTATTTCATTTTACAGATAAGAAACTGAGATTGAAGAAAATTGTCAGTTTACCAAAAGTCACAATGATAGTTTAAAGCAGAGCTGAAATTATTCACTCATTTATTCACCTCTTCATGAAGTTTACCACCTAGTGGGAGATGGTATGACCTAATAAACAATTGCACACTACAGGATAATAGCCCTACAATAGAGATGAATACAGTAAGGTCTGGGGAAACACAGGAAAAATAGCCCAGTCAGGTAAGGAAGAGTCACAGAGAAAGTGATGTTTAAGATCTAATAATGAATAACCATTATCCAGGAAAAGAGGTGGGGTGAAGGAGGCTGAAGAGACTGATGAAAACGAAAAGAATATTCCAAACAGAATCAGAAAAATAAATCCCTATGCATAAGAGAACCCCCATCATTTAGGTAGGATATCTAATATTATTGAAAAGCAAAAGATAAAGAATGGGAAGCAAAGAGACTGGATTAAAGGGACTTATATATCACAAGTCATTAAATAATTTGTACTTTATCCTACCTACCAGTCTTAGAGAGCAGTAAAGAAAAAATGTAAGCATAAGCACATAAACTTCTAATAATGAATGGTACAAGCAACTGTGGGGAATGAATTGGACTAAGTCATCCAAGAAAGGTAAGATTGGCTTTCCTTGGGGAAGTGGCAGTAAAAATAGGAAAAAGTGGATGAATTCAAAAGATATTCATTATCTAAGTATTCATTACCAAAAGTTGCTTGACATTTAAAAGCCCACATTTAGAAGATTACACAGAGAAGCAAAAAATCTTCCTGATGGAAATGTTCTCTACTAACCACTGATTAAAGCGTGAACTATACAACCCCTCCCTGAAAGAAGAGCACTTGTGCCTTCTCCTGACCGTATTACCCAAAGCAAGTAAAACAACAGGAGAGCAACAGAAACAAGACACAAACACAATGCAAAATAACTGTAAAACAACTTTTGTCTCATAAAAGTTAGACAATTTCATGAGTTCCATAGAAGTTCCGTTGAAAAATACGAGAATCTCCCCAGACGAGTGAGGATCAGACAATGAGAGCCTAATTCAGGATGAAAGGAAAAAAACAAGGACATTCAAGCCACTTCAAAGGAGAACAACTTTTATACCAAAGGATTAAGAAAGGCTTCTGAGGAAATTGTTGTAGTCTTTGAAGATGTTTTGCAAAAATGTCCCTATTTATAATCTTACTACAAGAGTCAAATGTGATGCAAAGAAAATCATGTAAGTTCTTATGAAAAAAATGATAAAGAATCTTACACTTAATTCATTATTTTAACCTAAAAATTAACACATCTGGAATAAAATTTTACCAAGAGAAGTCAAAATGAGCTTTTAGGAAAAGGTTTTAGTTTATTCTTCAAGTTTAAGTATTTAATAACATTTTTGATAAGCTATTTTCTATCAAAGTCTGATAAAATTCAAGTGTTTCTCCTAATGAAAATGTGCTTTTGTAAGAAGAGCAGAGCCTAGGCAAAGAAAGACGGGCAATGACTTCAGCCAAGATTCTAATCTTGATCCCACCACTAGTTCTGGGCTCCTTAGCTCATCGCAAAGTGGGAGTACCACTACTTACATTTTGTGGATTAAATGAGATAACATGTTTCTTCAGCATGGTACCTAATATCCTGAAATAGTTTCTCCTGGCTCCAGCCTAAAGACGGCCACTACGCTAATTACCTAGTCCATTTTTAACTGTGTCAATTAATTTAACAAAAGCTTTTCCCATCGCTACTTTAAATGGACTTATATAATAGTATTTAATTAATATGAACAATTAATATTCTATGCTTTAAATCAGGTACATCAAAGTTCATAGTCATGCACAATTAGGAAGTCTTTCTATGGAAAAGCTGAGGAAGAAATTAGCATCTTATTAGGATTTCTCCAGGAAATTAAGCAAGTGTTTCTGAGGTTAGTTACTAGCATATAAAGATCAGTAAAATTATTCCCGAGGTAGTAAAATGTTTTGGCATGTTTTGTAATACCCAATTATTTATAAAGGGGTTACTCATTAACAAAGTATTTGTATTTATATTTACTTTTAAATTTCTAATTTGATTGTCATAGAAAGCACAGTTGAGAAGTTCTGGGGACTAAAGAAAAAGCCCTTTTCCCTTCAAAAACACTGTTCTCTTCACATGCCGCTGAGTAAGTCAAAAGTCATATCCTCTGTTAAGCTAGTAGGGGGCCTGTGATTAGTCCATCTTCATAGTCTCAATCCCTCACACAAAAATTTGAAAACCTTTTGATAAATAAGCCATTATATCCTTTATTTGCCAATTCACCATGCCACCAATATAAAACTGAATGCGGACCTCAAAGACTCGAAGAAACTTAGGAATAATCAACTTATTTTCAAGAAGTAGCTTCTATATGTCATTACTATTTCTCTTGTGGCCGTTGTTGCTTTCTAGATATGGTCAAATAGAAAGCTACTAATAGCAACCCTATGTACAATAGAATAACACAACATTCACCTATCACTGTTATATAAGAATTTGTATACACATTTTATCTCTCTTACTAGACTATGACCTACAAGAGGCCAAGAAGCGTCTTAGATTTCTTTACATTCTCCTCACAGCACTTCATGTTGTTACTGTTGTTAGTGCCACAGTTTGAATCACTGACCAAAGTACTTTATACAGCTTTTCTTTATTTCACTTCATTCATATTGAGTGAACCAATTAATAAACTGTGCATTCAATTCTCTATCCTTAGCAGCACTTTTAGGATGATTAATCCAATTGAAACTAAAATTATCATGAGTCATCTTGAAGTTGAACAAAGTCCCAAATGTCAGTCACACAAACAAAGTCTGTGAGAAAGACAGAGAAGTCTAATTTAGTTTGCCAACAGTGGAATCTCCTTTTTTTCAATGACTCAACTCAGCTGTCAAGATTAGCACTAGGTCCCCCAAATACCCACAGTCAATTTAGTGAATCAGTGTGCCTAAGAACCCCTTGACTTTCAGGGTCCTGTAACTCAGGATGCTAATCACTAGGAAAAAGCCTTTGTTCAATTCATAAAGATTGTGATTATCACAGTATAACCTGGTGATTATTAATCTGGACACTGATTTCTTCCTTGTTGCCAACCATTAAAAATATGCTGAGCAGTGGAGGGGAGGGCAATTGGGATATACTTACTTTGAGCAGCCAAGTGAGAACAGAGTCACGATATGGAACAAATTTATTCTTGTTTTTGCCAGCACCCTGATCTGCCAGGGCTGAGATAACCAGACCGAGTGTTGTGAGAGACCTGTATGATGCAACAAACCATGATAATTACACAAACGGAATATATCAAATATCACATTTTAGCACAAAGATTGAACATCAAGATGCCTTGTACCTGCATGTGAGCAGTACTGTCATCAGCATTTTATGGCTCAGTTTAAAGACACATAACCTTACTGTAAGCAGCTGTTCCCTCACTAGCATTATTTCAAGAAATGCTTAAAATTGCTTAGCTCAATTTTTTTTTCTTTCTGTAGATAAAAATGTGAGCTTAAATCTAGGTCAAGGTCACTATACAACTACTACTCAGCATCATGAAAGGAAGTCACAAACATAATATCATAAATTAAAACAATACAAAAGGGGAAAATAGCAAAAAACAACACGTGTATGTTTTTGGTTTGTATTTTTTCTTTGTGCTATTCTAATAAAATGTATATACGTATAGAAGTATATATGTGTATTTGTGCATATATGCATGTTTAAGCATATGTACATATCTATCTATCTATCTATCTCTCCATTCATTAGTAGCATAGCATCTGGATAATGGTATTCTATAATCAGTTTTGACTATAATGTCCTTATGCAGGCCATGAGGATAGAAAAGATTTCTGCCCACTAAGAGCTGACAACTGAACCTCAGGGAGAAAATATAGCCATAAAAAGGAATTGGCAAACAATTTTATGTTCTACTTTCTTAGTATAGATCCCACTAAACCCACTGGCATCAAGTAGATTCTGATTCATAACAACCACATAGAGGGTATCCAAGGTTGTAAATCTTTAGAGAAGTAGACAGTCTTATTTTTTGGTTTGAACCACTGACCAATGTAAGCAGCATGTGTGTTGTTTGCTTAAACAGTAAAATACAAGTCAGTCCCCAATGCTGGACTCTTAAAGGCAAATCATTATTTTACTTTCTATTCTTAGATCAGTGATTCTCAACTAGAGATCAACTAGGTCTCACAGGGAATGTCTCCCAGTGGGCAATGTCTGGAGATTTAGTTTGTGGAGGAGAGCAGGGACTGTGCTGGCTACTACTGGCATCTAATGGCTAGAAACCAGGATGCTTGTAAACTTAAACATCCTAAAATGCACAGGAAATCTGCTCCTTTCTCCATCACCTCTAGCCCTATGGTAGGACAAAGAATTTCTGGCCTACAATCTCAAAAATGTGGTTTCCGAGAAGTCTTGAATTGACAAAAGTTGTGCTCCACAGTCCATGTTAACAAAAGAAACCAGTTCCTGGAGGATCTCATGCTTGGTAAAGTGGAAGAGCAGCGGAAAAGAAGAAGACCCTCAAGACCCTCATGGATGGACACAGTGGCTGCAACAATGGGCTCAAGCATAGGAACAATTGTGATGACGGCGCAGGACTAGAGAGTGTTTCTTTCTGTTGACCATGGTGTTGCTAAAAATCAGTGGTACCTGACAACAACAACAAAGCCCCTAGACACTTCAATAAAACAAAATGGGCTCAGGCCCCCCAAAATCACTAGGGAAAAATTCTAAACTATAAATGTGGCATAACCCTTATTTTTTTAAAAATAGAGTTAACTTCCTTATTTGGAAATTTCATCAATATATAAAAGTAAGTTACTGAAAATTTTACTTGTTAATGTTGCTCCCTTCCTTCAGTCTGTCACCTGCAGCTCCAGTTTTTGTTGCTCTTTCACTGCCAGCTAAATCAACCAAGCTCAGTTTGCCCACTTTCTCTCCAGATGTCTAGAAAACAAATTGTTAAACACTAGTAAACAGTCAAAGAAGGCAGAGAGTGATTCCCTCTCAACTCGATGAGTTTATTATCCTTTAATAAAGATCTATTTACCTTACTCCTAAATGCTTTTATGCTATTACAAAATAGTATAAAAAATTGTCAAATCTAGTAACAGAAACACTAACATTATTACATAAATCTCTGCTGTCTAGAAAGAATGACAGTTAATCTCAAAAAAAGAAATAGCCTCCTCCAAAATGGGACATTTTGAAGGGAATTCAATAAAATTATCATACAGAAGTATACAAAATTATTTATAAGATATATATTTCAGTAATTTGGAATGATGACTTTAAATTTTTCATGAATATTTACTCAAGGCAAAATATTTAAAATTCTATTAAAAATGATTCTGATTTTTATACAATAAAAGAATCCTTCAATAAATAAAAAATGCTTTCTAAAGTTTTACATATTAGTCATATATAATTGCCTTATTTTATAATTTCCATATTAAGTGTACATTGTTTTCTTAGATCCGACAAATATAGATAAATTCTTCTTGTGAATAAAATTTCTACTATGTAAATAGACGTGTGAGCTGTCAATCTGAGGTCACCGTAAATACAAAGACACTGCATATCTTTAAGGAAAGCATCTGTAAACACAATACAATGAATTAAACCAGGAGTCCTCAGATTTTTTAAACAGGGGGCCAGTTCACTGTCCTTCCGACCCGTTGGAGGGCCGGACTATAGTTTTAAAACAAACTATGAACAAATTCCTATGCACACTGCACATATCTTATTTTGGAGTAAAAAACAAAACGGGGCAAAAACACCCAGCGGCCTGGATAAATATCCTCAGCGGGCCGCATGTGGCCTGCAGGCCGTAGTTTGAGGACCCCTGAATTAAACCATAGTGCTAATTCCACAGCTGTGTTGCACACATAGGCACACACACATAATCACACAAGTAACAGACACTTTGTACTTCATCAGCCAAAACAAGAAATGTGGGAAACCAATGCCAAAATCTATAAACAGGATCATTTTTTAGAACTTTCCTTTAAAATGTGTGAAGTAAACATGTTGCTAATAAAAGGATATTCAGCATCCTGAACCAGAAGTACTTTTGATTTAAAATAAATAAGTAAAAGTAAGTCTTCAGTATGCTTTTTTGTTTTGTGCTGAAAAAAGAAGTAGGAAACAAAGAACCTTTTGTTGTTAAACTAATTTTGCTGTGATGGTAAAAAGAAAAATATGCTTTCAGCAAATGAAAATCTTATGTCAAAATAAAGTACTTTAGCCAGGGTTATGGTTTTAGCTTCTAGTATTTGTAATTGATCCACTGAGAAGAAGGTATCAAAATTAAAAATGCAAAAATTACTATAGAAAGCAAAGGAAAACAAATGGATGAGTCAATGGAAATATTTTCAATGTGGTAGAAACATACACATCTCTGATTGTTTACTCTTCATAAAACCAAATCCAATCTAACAATTTTATAGTGCTATTTCCCAGTGCACTTTAGCTGTCCTAATACTAAGTAGTTTAGAAGGTAGCAGTTCAAAAGAACCACCATGGAATCTGGGGCAGCATTAACATATGCTGACAGGGAGCAATCATCTGGGGGAGGTTGGCATAACAGGCACTAGTGATGCTGGAAGAACAAAGATCCCAGTTTGGTGGGGAAGACAGGATGAAGAAGAGGGGGGAAGTGCTTCTGTGAAGGTTGAACTGCAATTGCAGTACAAGGTGTGGGTGGCTCATCAGCTTGCTCAACTTCTGTTCCACAATCTTCTAGCTAAAGACATTGAGAGCCAAAACTTAGATGTCTTAGAGTCCGTGAAGCCTGGGCTCACAAAATAACTTTGGGTCCTATTTCATAAGATTTGAAAGCAGACGCTACCCTCCTATTCCTTTGTAATCTTTTTTCCTGCTGGCAAGCTAGATCAAGACAACATGAGGCTTTTCCGACGGGAGTGTTCCAACATCATTCTCCAGCATCTATAACACTAACAGGCAGTTTCACTGGCAGAATAATTTATTGATTCCTGTTCCAGATCACAGCTATGTCTTGAATTGATAGCTCCAGTGAAAGACTCAGTAAGTGGTAGCATCCCTGCGAGACCCAATCTGTTATTCTGAGATGACTCCTAAGGATTCAGTTGAGAACTCAATCTTCTGCTGGTGTCCAGTTCTGTAATCACCTAATTCCTGTGTGAAATGCCTATTGAGTCCTAACTAGTACAGACATGTCTAGTCAGTACTTTAATTCATCATACCCCCAAAGAAAAGAGGAGCAAATAAAATCATGTATCTGAACACTTACCCCAGACTTCACATCGTATAAAGTATGTGTTAGGGTAATTTTGAAGACAGCATGGGACCGGCTACTCTCCTCATTCATGTTGGTTGCAGCAACTGTACGGGATTTGTTACCCTCAGACATCAAAGACTCAATATCCTACCAGAAACAATTCATAGAGATTTCATTATTTGTCTAATAAGCAACACAACTTTGCTATATTATGAAAAAACATTAAAATGTTCACTGCTCAGCCAATCATATTTGCAGTTTATATTTTTTTTCTCAAACACTTGAAGCCCCATAAAATATAACAGTATTCCTCCAAACTACTATGATCTTCAACACAGATCACTGCACTTGCCATGTTTTATAATACCTTTATAGCATCTAGGAGCATTTTAGAGAAATGGGCCACTTTGTTCATTTTTTATGTCCCCAGCACCTACAATATTCAAGAATTGTCTATGCAATAAAAGAATCATTGAACCAAGAACAAATGAATGTAACTTATGTGACAGCTGAAACAACAATAAACTTCCTGTCCATTGTAAAAGTTAGGGCCAAGAAGCTAGATGAGAGGGATGGTAAATGATCTAGAGTCATATAGGAAACAAGAGGACCATCACTAGATACACAATCTTTGACTCTTAAGGGAACATATAGGACCTCACAGTGCCTCATCCCACCACACTCCCTTTCCCCAACACACAAAGCACAACAGAGGAATTGGAAAAAGCAGAGCACTAACTAAAGGCCAACACAACTGTAAGGCACATCACAATTACAGAGATACCATAAAAATTATCTAAGTCAGCCTTAAAATTGATATATAGGTATGCCTAGCAAATACGTACATTCACTCTGAAAATTAAACTATTCTTAGAGCAACATATGGCTTTTAAAGTAGATTTTCAGTAATTCGTTAAGTATGAGGCTGTAATTTTTTAAATTTCAAGATAACCATCATCAACTAAACAATAAAATATTTACCACTAAATTTAAATAGTTCACATAAAGGGTGTTTTTACCTTGTAGCTTGTAACAGCCAATTTAGAAAGTCCATCCACATAAGGTCCCAGCACATTATGCTCTCTGACTTTTAAAGTTTGGCGGCTTCTGTTCAATAGAAACAAAGAAGCAATTTTGTAACAAGAATGAGTTTTTAAAAGGACTCAATTACACTTCATAAATATATATACACCGAATTCAACAAAAATCTGTTAAGTAAAACTGACTAACTCGATCCCAGAATTCAAACCACCAATGTATATATCTCGACTGGTAACAAGAACTTCATAGTGTGGTAAAGCATCACATCTCTCGAAAGGGTATGCTGTGGGATGTCTTTACAATCACAAAGAATGCAGTCAAATAAATACAAACAATCTAATTGTCATACAGAGAATGTGGTACAAACTGTACAAGAAAGAAAAACTATGGACCAATTTCAATCATGTTTAAAGATGCAAACTCCTAAACAAAAAAACCAGCAAAGTGAATCTAGCAATCACTTAAAATAAATAACTAAAATGATTTAAAAGGGCTATTCTAACACTGGACAAAAAGATTCGTGCACTTTACCACTCTGACAGACAAAAGAGGAAATGTATAAAAAAAAGTGATCATTTCAATAAATGCAGAACAAGATTAAAAAATGTAATAAACACCTATAATTTTAAAAAAGCAATTACTTATAAGAAACTGATAAACTCAACAATGGGTATCTGCCACAAACCTAAGACATACAGCATATATAATATAAATAAAAACATTTTCAGAACTATTTATTGGTGGTGAGATTAAAAGGGATTCTCATTTTATATTCTTGTTTACTCACATTTCCTACTATGGATGTTTAGTCATCTTGTTTTTTAAATCATGAATAATAAATTATAATCCTTAAAATTCTTTTTACCTACAAAATTAGATCCAAACTCTTTCTTCCGCTTGATACACTTGCTCCTTTATGACATGCTCTTGTCTACCTCTCTTGTTTCAACTTCTCCAATTCCTCACCATCAGTCACAATAATTTATATATAATATGTATATATGTGATATATACAGACACATATATATATACATACATATATGTGTGTTTTTTAACAGACTTTGGGCACCATAAGATCAAGAACAATGTCTTATGAATTTTGAGGTCTGCAGTTCTGAACAAAATTCTTGGTATATACAAGTCACTCAATGACCAAATTTAGCCTCAAATGGGAAAATGGAAGAATAAGGTGATGAAGAGGTCTCTAATATACAGTCCATGCAAATTGGAGAGATAATGCTAGTGACCAAATAAATAAAGGAAGGGAAAGGAAGAAATGATGAAAATATACATAAATGAGAAACTGAAACCAGATTGTGCCTGCATTCTCAACAAAATCAAGTAGAGACAATGATGATGAGAAAAAGGAAGAACACTTATAAAATAACCTTTCATGTAAGCAGCAAAGTTAGAAAGTGAGAGAATGATTTCTAAATCCAGTATACTCACAACCATTAAGCCAATACTAACTCATAATGACCCTATAATAGAACAGGGTAAAACTGCCCCTCTGTATTTCCAAGACTGTATCTCCTTGTGGTAGTTACATAATCTGTTGTCAATTTGAGACTTAAGAGTGAAGGGGTGGAGTTTAGTCTGTCAATTAGGTTGCAGCTTGATGACCTCATTTAGAGGCGCTAAAGAGATAGACAGAGGCTCATTCCCTGTGAGACAACAAGCCACATGGAGCTACACTGATGCAGCCAGAGCCCTGGGAGCTGTAGAAGCCACGAGGAGACCCCTGCCAGCACTGACATGCTTCTACTGCCACTGAATCAACAAAACTTTCCACCACTGGTCTGTTATCTTCCTGCACTTAGCATTATTGCATAGCTGCATGAGTCTAAAGAGGAATTTATGGACTAGCACTGGACATATGGGCTAATATTAGTCTCATGGACTTGATCTGGACTGGGCTGGGATGTTTTCTCAATATTCAATTGTTCTTGTATATAAAGCTCTTTCTTATACACATATCAATGTCTCTGGATTTGTTTCTCTAGTCAACCTAGACTAACACATTTCTTAAGGGAGTAGAAAGCCCTTTCTCCCAAGGAGTCACTGATGGTTTCAAACTGCCGACTTAGCGGTTAGCAGCCCAATGCATAACCAAATGACACCAGAGCTCCCTCCGGTATACTAGTTATATCTTAATGCTGTCTTATAATTTGGAATCTTACAGTACTGTAGAAACAACTGGTTTTATTTATAATATATTTGTAGATGAAGTTGACACTGAACAAATATATGAATCAGTTCTGACTCCAAGATCTATTGCATTAAAATTTTTCCCTTTCATTTTCCTCTTTTCCCAAAGATATACTATACTTATTATCTCCTGAGTGACACAACATTACTACATTTTTATACTGAATTATAAAATTAGTAGTTCTCTCTAACAGTTCTTGGCTAAAAAAAAGGATCACTTTAAGCGGTTTTCCATTTATTTTCAAGGAATCTTAATAGGAGAGCTAACAACAACAATAGCTCAGATTTTTGTACACTTACAAGAGGACTTCAGAAAGTTCATGGGAAAATGGAATTCAAAGTTAATGGAATTTTGAAGCCCCTGAACTTTTTGAAGCCCCTTGTATTCCAGTGTGCTACATCCTCAAGTATATTGTCTCAGTCAGCCTTCACAACAATTCTCTGAGGTATTATGTAACATTATTATTTCCCTCTGCAACGTAAGCATAAGGAACTTGCTCAAAAGGTGAAAATCAGCTCAAAACATTTATATAGCCACAGAAATAAAAACAGCCGGGTACTGGTACAAAGATAGTTACACAGACCAAAGGAACAGAATAGAAAACCCAGAAATAATTCCATCCACCTTACAGATAGCTGATCTTAGACAAAGGGCCAAAAAACATTAAATGGGAAAGAGACAGTCTCTTCAACAAATGGTACTGGCAAAATGGGATCTCCATCTGCCAAAAACTGAAACAGGGCCCATACCACATCCCATGCACAAAAACAAACTCAAGATGGATCCAAGAGCTAAATCCCAGAGTTATAACGATCATCAGTGAAAAAATATGAACAAACTTAAGGGCCTTAGTGAAGGGTATAAACATACTATCATATAAAACAAAGGAAGTATATATACTAGAAGACAAAATATATGACTGGGATCTACTAAAAATAAAGCATGTTAAGTATATTAAAAGACTTCATCAAAAGAACAAAAAGAGAACTCGGGGTTTGGGAACAAAAAAATTTAGCAATGTCATAGACAGGGGATTAATCTCTAAAATCTAAAGAAAACTGCAATACAGTATCACAATAAGTAAGAAAAAATAACCTAATTAAAAAGTGGGCAAAGGACATGAACAGACAGTTCACCAAAAGTACCATCCAAATGGCTAAGAAACATGAAAATATAATCACGATCATTAGCCATCCAGGAGATGCCAACCAAAACAATGATGAGTTATCATCTTACACCAACAATGACAGCACAACCTAAATATGAAAATAACAAATGCTGGAGAGCATGCAGAGAGATTGAACACCCCTACAATGCTAGTAGGTCGGTAAACATATATAACCATCGTGGAAAGTGCTACGTCAAACAACTGGAAGCAGAAATTCCATATAAGCCAGCAATATTTCTGTTGGTATATACCTTAGGGAGGGCTTTCTATTCCCATTAACAGTTACAATCTCAGAAACCCATAGGGACAGTTCTATCCTGTACCTACATGGTTGCTATCAGTCAGCATCAATTCAATGGCAGTGAGTGAGTGCGTGAGGCACTTTAAAGAAGAGCCCATACATTGAAGAGACATATACACATCTGTGTTCATCACAGCACTGTTCACAATAGCAAGAAGTTGGAAACAGCCAACTGCCCATAAGTAGAAGAGTAGATGAAGAAACGCTGGTACATATACATAATGCCATACTATGCATTGCTACAAAAAATAATGTGGATGGACCCAGAGAATATTATGTTGAGTGAGGTTAAGTCAATCACAAATGAACAAAGACTGTATGAGACCACTACCTACTATACAGATTAAAACCAAGTTAAAAACTTGCATACCAGTCTGGCTAGACCAGACGATGTACACTGGTACAGATAGGAACTGAAAATCCAGGGAATCCAGGGCAGATGAGCCCTACAGGACCAGTGGAGTGAGTGGCGAAACAGGGAGGGTACAGGGAGAGTGGGTAGGAAAGAGGGAACCGATTACAAGGAACTATATGTGACCTCCTCCCTGGGGGACAGACAACAGAAAAGTGGGTGAAGGGAGACATCGGACAGGGCAAGATATGACAAAATAACAATTTATGAACTATCAAGGGCTCATGAGGGAGTGGGGAGCAGGGAGGGAGGGGAAAAATGAGGACCTAATGCCGGGGGTTTAAGTGGAGAGAAAATGTTTTGAGAATGATGAGGGCAATGAATGTACAAATGCGCTTTACACAATTGATGTGTGTATGGATTGTGATAAGAGTTGTATGAGCCCCTAATAGAATGATTTTAAAAATAAATAAATAGATAGATAGATAAATAAAAACCTGCATACCAAAGAGAGCAAATTTTGTAAGAAAGAGTAGGTCTGGGATGGATCTCAAAGAAAGTGATGATTTTTACAGAGATAAAGGTACTCCCTCCGGCCTACCACCTCCTCCAAAAAAAGGTATTTTAGGCAGAGGGGGGGAAAATACAATGGCAAAATATTAATATATGACTACCTAAGTCATAATCTACTTTCTTCTGGATTTGACTACTTAAGTCATAATCTACTTTCTTCTGGATTATTTTTATTCCCTATTTTAACTTCCATGCACACTATCCTCCAAATTCTCATCTTACTTTGATTGTGAGCTCTCAGTGCCTTACAATGTCTGGCATGTAATAATCACTCACTAAATGTTTTTTAATTCAATTTTTTATGAAATGGCTAAAGATTATTCTCTATCAAAGAAATAAATGCCAGCTAGGACTTGAGAAGTCTCTTTTTGAGAATCAATATGCTTCAATGCCTCTAAAATTACCTTTCCTTGATCATCTTCTTCATCCAAATATAACTAAATATTCTCTCGTTGTCGTCAACAGTTTTTGTAAGTCTCAGTTCACTGGCCTCTTTAACGTCTGTATTATTTATATATCCTATGCCAGTCTCCTGTCGTTATTATCCCTGCTTCTTTGTCAATATCAATGCACTTTCACAAAATCTGAACTCACAGAACTCCTCATCTTCCTCACTCGGTTAATCAATGACTGAAGATTCAGAACAGCCTTTCTGAAAGCTTTCCAATACTACTACTGAGCTATCTTCTCTTTCAAAGGCTAAGTCATGAAATTGTGGACATGTATTTTCTGGAAAATTGCTAAATGGACTATCCTAAAGTTCAGTTTTCATATCCTGATTGTGTCTCACCCACCACCCACCCCTCGTTTCACAGCCTACAAACAAACACCTAAATTCTACCTAAAATTTCTTGGATCAAAAACAAACAATGAATTGCTTAAGGCAACCCATTACTCTGATATTAAATAACTTCCTTTTCATTACATACTTGTACTTTTTGTTTCTAGCTTTGGAACAAAACATGAGACAGGCGGTACGAGACAAATACAGGCTGCTCAGCCACTCTCGGGCCCTACGCTTCTCTCTCTTCTGAGCTTTAATTTCAAAAGCCCAGAGAATAATTAGATTCTCTACTAGAGTTCAATATAAAAATTTCACATAAATCAATTAGTTAAATTGGTTCGAGTCTCTAATGTTAATACATTAAGTTAAAAGTATTTTACCCTTTGGGATCAAGAAGGTCTCTAACTTTTTCATTATAAATTTCCATGTAGGAAACTTCTACTTTAAAACTCTGCTCTTCATTTTCCTCTTTCTGAGTTCGTTCAAAGAGGCCACTGCAAAGTCTTGGGATTAATCCAGGTTGGTCACCTGTGCCCATCATGGTATAAGATTTTCCAGATCCTAAAATATGAAAATTATAGTTATTATTACCTCCCTGAAAGTTTAAGCACATAACTACCCTTTCACTGTTGATAATAAATCAATAGCAATTAATGAAATACTCAAAATACAGTTAAGAAATATACCCAACTTAAAAAAGAAGTCACTAATTGCATATCCTTTCCTATTGCATGAGAAAGTTAAAAGGAAGACAAATACCAGGTGAAAAAAAAAACTAAAAGAGGAGACAAAAACATTAATTAATAATCATCATGCTTTATAAAACACTATTTAGAACAACTGAAAAATAATATAGTTTGAAACATTTTTTTAAAACTATGAAAACATATGTGATTAATAGCACCCTGCTGGCTCCCACCACTTGGTGCCTATTTCTAACCACAGATACTACAAAAATACAGATGCTCTCAATGCCCCACAGCAAATTAACGTATTAATTATTGTACTTTGGTAATAGTGTGGCAATCAAAGAATAATATTTTTATAACAAAATTATGCTCCACATTATAACTACAGAAAAAATACATATTCATTTGAGAACATATAATCAAATCACTCTGTCTTACCACCCAGGGACTGAAACTATAGACATGTAGGTATAATTCCTTTTCATATTTTAAATAACAGTCATTTTGTAAATATGTTTTGAATCATACTCAGATAAGTTTCTACTTCTCATTTATTACTATTGTCATTATAATACCTAAAACCAAAACACCACTTGCTGTATTACCAGGCCTTTTAAAAGTAGTCAAACATTAACTCATTGTAATGACTCTATACAGAAAAGGCTCTTATTATCCATAATGTCACTGGTTGATAAGAATCATTAATGTGCTCAGCTGCTAATCAAAAGGTTGGAGATTCAAATTCATCCTGACCCACCTTAGAAGAAAGCCCTGACAATTTTATTCTGAAAACTTAAGCCTTAGTTTAATAAGGCATTTAAGGCGATAAATGCAAAATTTATGTAATATGTAAAACCCCTATACCTAATTAATACTAAAATGTTTCTTTAAAAGAGAGAAGAAATATAAACCCTTGGAAATCTTTGAAGAATGGTTGTACTCTGATATCTGTATAGATGCATGAGTCAGAATCAACTTGATAGCAATTCTCCTCCTCCTTGCACAGATAAGGATATTGAGATGCAGACAGGTTAAGTCATTTGTTCTAGTTTCATAGCTAGACAGTGTCAGAACAAGGACAGAAACTAGAATGTGCTAGCGCTAAAGTCCATGATTTATAACCATGATGTAATATTGTCTTTAGAAAATACCATAAGCATCTTCATGAAAAAGCTTTCAATTGGGCAAGCTATATGATATACTCTTAAAAAGTATCCAATTGACATTAAACAAATTTCCTTTTAACCACAAAATTACAGAAGTCAAAATGTTCCTTCTCCATGACAACTATTAAGATGCTAATAAATGTTCCTTTTAGTATTTTTTCAGTTGTTATCTTTACTCTTAAATGAAACATATATTGGGTAGGGTGAGTAATATGTCCAATAGTCATAACTCTGTAATGCATAGGAGGGGGAAAAAATAAAAATGCTTATCAATGTCTTCTGAAAATGCTACATTAAAAAAGGGAACCTAATCCTAATTTTAATACACTTATCTTTAAAACATTGTCTAATTCCATCTCACCTGTAATAATTTTCTAAAAATCAAAACCCAAAAATCTGCATTCTTTAACTCAGAAAACATGATTCTATTTTCCTTCATTGAAATTTATTTACAAAAAAAAGAGAAAGTTACTGGCTTATGTTATTCTTATAATTAAACATTACCAGTCTGTCCATAGGCAAAGATACATGCATTGTAGCCATCAAAAGCATTCTGAAGGATATTCTCCCCAAGGCACTTGAAAACATCATCTTGACCTAAAGATCATAGATGGAAGAAAGGAAGGCAAGAGAGAGACAAAAGAAAATACACTGTTAGCCAAAATTACATATAATTTTTTAAACTGAAAAATGTACAATCAACTTTTGTATCTCTATTCTATGTAATCTACTAATCTAACTTTGTCATTTTATACCAAGAATAGCACACTGGGAACTCCCATTTCCCAATCCATGTGAAAACTGTAACAGCAAGGATTAAAGAAAGGTGTCTGTAGTGTTTAAGGTTACAAAATACATATATATTTTAAGGGGACAAGTTACAATGTTTTTGTATACGGTCTGTAGTTAATAGATTGGTCCTCTATTACCTGCATATTTTTCTCTGACTGATTCATCCATAGACCAGAAACAGTGGTCATAAGCAAACACCTGTTGAAAAATTAAAATAACCATATATTAATAAAGCCTTAATATTATGAATAATGCTATAATTATAGCAATGTCCTAACATTGAGAGCACTGTTCATAAGAGTGAAATAAAACGTAATTTACTGTCTTACAATGGTGGGTAGTAAAGTGATTTATGCTAGCAATTTTACTGTACCCAACTAAGTGTCCTATACAGGATTAAGATCTATATTTGACATGAAAAACTATTCATAAATGGAAAAAGGAGATTATATAATAAGATGTTTAATATGATGACTATAATTAGTGATAAGAGCCATTGAGGCATAGTGGGTTATGCAATCAGCATTTAAAAACTACCATGCACTTCAAAGGAGAAAGAGGAAACTTTCTACCCCCTTAAAGAGCTATAATCTCTGGGGAGCGAAAATAATGAGTACAAGAATAAAGAAAATGTTCTAAAACTGATTGTGATGATGACTGAACAAATCTTCTTGAAGTGATTGAACTATTGAATTGTATGGTATGTGAGTTATATGCCAATAAAATTGTTGGCCACACACATACACACGAGCTACAGTCTCAGAAACTCATGAGGACAGTTCTACCTTATCCTACAGGGTCACTCACTCTGAATTGGAACTAACTTGATGGCTATGAATCAATTAGTGATATTTGCCTGATTCTTTTGTTTGTGTGTAATTTGTCTATTCATTATGATGATGATCTAGTTGTGGTGTTGTTCATTGTCATTGAATCAATTCCAATTCATGGTGGCCCCATGTGTACAGAGCAGAAGTACTTCATAGGGCTTTCAAGGCTGTGGCTGCTAGAGCACTTAACCATTAGCACCACGCAGGGACTCCTTGGTTTACTTTTATATTTAGAGAGAAAGAGCCTTTTTTTAAAAGAAAAACAATGTAAGATACTCAGTACAACAATGTTGAAAATATGTATAAAACAGAGTGTTTCAATAAATCATGACTTATCTATACATGTAGTAATGTGCATTCTTAAGAGGGTAGAAAATAAGATGCATGTTAATGAAAAAGTTATGCAGGTCTAGAGTATGATCCTTTATTTGTACCCTAGAAAGTAAGAAGAATATACATTTAAAACATTGATAGTGGTTAATGTTACTAGTGGGATACTACAATGACTTCTGTTTTAATCTTCTATATCATCACCACTTTCTACATCATCATCACACATAAAGCATGTACATACTTCTTTTACAAGCTATGAAAAGTATTTCACAGATCACATTTTTTCATTTTTTGAATTCTTTGAATTTTTTGAGTTTTAACTAGTTAGTGCTGTTGAGTAAGCATTAGGACTACTAACCAGAAGGTCAACAGTTTAAGCCCACCAGCCACTTCATGGGAGAAAGATGAAGTTATCTGCTCTTGTGAAGATTTACAGCCTCAGAACCCCTATATGGGGTCAATATGAATTAGACTCAACACCTGTGGGTTTGGGTTGTGGTTTTTTAGTTGATGCTTTATAATTTTATATTTGTTTTTCCACACATGATACTATTTTGTTTTTTATCTTTAAAGATTTTAAATCACCTTTAAATTGCATTTTAATAGCTTTAAAATTCATCTCAGTTTCAAGTTTCATCAAACTCTACAACTTTAGGCATTTGTTATGATTTTTCCTGATGAGTTTTTCTTCTGTGCTTCTGTATATTAGTGTGCAAGCCCATCTGAATTGAGAGCTCGTTATTTTATGGTTTGTGAGCTTTCTTACTTCTCCCTCCCCCAAGGCCTCTGTTACAGGAAAAGTTATGTTTCCAGTTACTAAAGCCCATAATTAGGTTTTCTAAGGACAAAGTGGCTGAAACAATGGGCTCACGCATAAGAAGACTTGTGAGGATGGCAAAGAACCAGGCAGTGTTTGTTCTTTTGTGCATAGGGAAGCTATGCGTCAGAACCAACTCAACAACACCCGACATTACAGTCCAGTATCTTTATTCCCTCCTGTTGGAGACAGACA